TCCCACCATGTATCGTCAAGAACGATGCCTGTATTGCTGGGTCCTATGGACACTTCTCTTTAATACACTATGTAAATTAATTATAAATGAATGTACCTAGTCTCAGGTGACCTCAGGTCAAAGTTCTCAGCTTCCATTCTCTCTGCTCCTTTCCTGAAATACCTGCTGAGCTCTCAGGCTCACCTGGTTGGGGTCTCTAAGATGAAAGTCTCCATGTGGAGGTCTGAATTCCTCCCTGGATGGTTGATGCTGGAGACCGCAGCTCTGTTCCCAGGCAGGACAGCAGGCAGCAGTGAGGCATGGGTCCCCCAGCCACACTTAGGAACCCAGAAATAACAGCCATGTTGTGGCCAGTCCAAGGTTTCACATGCTGAAGCTCTGCAGCAGAGGAGATATTTACAGCTCTGTGTCTGCTCATTAGGCACTGTTTCCATTGTTACTCCCACCTCAGAGCTCTCCATTCCCAGTGGACAACTGGTATGGACAGAAAGGCAACTTTTCCTGCTGATACTTTGATCCTGGGAGGCCAGATTAGAAATCAAGTGAATCCATTTTTTTTTTTTAATCCTCTTTCTCATGAATTTACCTGCCTTCCAGAGTTCTAACCTCCTTGACTTTACCTTAACTTTGAGATGATACTGAATTTCTTTAGTTGATGGTTTACTTTACCATTTATAGCTTTAGGGTGATTTTAGTAAATAAGCCATGTGATCCTCTTCCTGTGTGGTTTGGAGAGAAAAGACTCAGTACTCACCCTAGAGTTGAGATCAATTGTGTTTGATTCTCCAAAGAAGGGCCCCTGAGTTGACATCAAATATACCTAGGAAAAATACTTCAGTAGGCAGAATAATGTCCCCCGAATATTTCCACATTTTAATCTACAGAATCTTTGGCTATGTCTTGTTTCATGGCATGGGAGAATTAAGGTTGCAAATGGGATTAACATTGCTAGTCAGCTGACCCAGGATAAAGTTATTCTGATTATGCAGCTGGGCTCAATAGATGACAAGCGTCCTGCAGTTGTGGAAGGGGGAGGCAGAAGTCTTGGAGTCAGAGAGAGATTTCGAGGTGCTATTTTGCTGGCTTTGAAGGTAAAGGGAAGGGACATAAACCAGAGAGTACAGGTGGCTCTAAAGCTGAAATAGGCAAGAAAACCTATTCTCCCCAGACCTCCACAATGAACTCTTCTCTGCAGAGAGAGTGATTTTAGCCCAGGGGGACCTATTTCAGTCTTCTGTCTTCCAGAACTATCAGAAAATAAATTGACTTGTTTAAGGGAGCAGCATGGTCATTTGGCGCGAGCCAAGCTACTCATGCTGTTTGACAAAGTCCAAGTATGGGGGACAATCTTGAAAATCAGGAGACTCCACAGCTGGCTCCTGCTACTTCCTTTCATTTTATTTGCGGCAATCTTTATAATCATGGGATTTTTTCTTGGGTTTCATGATAAAATGATTTATAAATTTAGTTATGCCTATGCAAGCAATCATAATGAAACTGATTCCAAAAAGGCTGACGATGGACCAAGAAGTAAAATTACCCAATGTCCTCCAATCTGTAATTCATCTAAGATGAGCAACGCGGAGTTCTTTGATAAGCTTCGTTTAAGGGAGCTGTTGGATCCAGGCCCAGTAAAAATTCCTATTGATGAGATTCCTCAGGCACCTCTGAAACATCAGGATTCTAGGAAAGGAAAATCTCATGTCATTCCCACAGTACAGGGACCTCCCTATGTTGCATACAAAATAGGAGGCCACCTTTGGTATGCCCCTCGAGGCAAGCCCTGGAGTAGGATTAACTTCCTTACCCCCTACTCCTCCCATTCCTTATAATGGATTTGATAATGAGGACATGAACAAATGGTATGAGATTAAGGGAAAAAGGGTGCGGGCATCATCTGTCAGCCTCTGGGGAAAGATTAAGAGGAGTGATCCTCCGTGGTGTCTATGGAGCAAGGACAAGAGACGAAAACAGAGAAATGGAAGAAGTACTTTGATAAGACAGGATGCACACATTGTAAGCTGCCTTTGGAGAAAGAATAAACTTTAGATAAACCTTTAAGCAAGAGTAAAAATACAACATTTTCGCTTTAGCACACAATAGCAGATAGGTCACGCTTTGTCTCGCACTGTCACGCTCTGTTTAGCACCTTTGTTTTTAAACCCGAAATGGTTGCGATAAAATGTAAAAAACAAAATCACATATTATGAAAGAATGGAAAAACAAGGAGATATTCTAATGAATAAATAAAGTCCCTCCGAGGCTATCAGGCAGGAGATGCTTACAACCTGATCCTGTGTCCCTGTCTCCTCGCTCACCGATGCTGTCCTTTCCTTCAAGAACCCTTCCCCTGCTGGAGCTGGACTCCGGCAGTCATTTCTTGCAACCACAATGAAAAAATAATCCAGACATTTATCCAATTACACTTTGTTCAAGGAAAGTGAAATCAGCCTTGGATTTTATTCATTTATATTCTCGTGGATAAGGATATATCGTGTTGGTGCCCTACTTCAAGTAGACAATGGAATCTGAAGTCACTTTGGAGTTGTTCAGCCCCAAGAGCTGGTACAGAAAATCTCCCATGCCATGAGCCATGCTGACTTGCAGGTACTAACCTAGAAAAACTGAATCCTTAAGACGATTTGTTCTATCTTAAATCTTTGTGTCCAAATTTTTACATACTTTAACTTTCACGCTAATCTAAATATTCATTCTTTTCATTCTTATCCTCTCCCACTTTCTCTCAAGTTTACTTGTGACAGGAAAGATCACTTAATAATGATTCTGTGTGTGTGCACAAGAGCACCCAGGTTTACTTCAAAGAAAAGTGTGAATAAACACACACACACACAAATATCATACCCCTCACCATTGAACATTTTCTTAGGGATCTACAAAATATGACCACACCCTTGTTTATTAGCCACAATATCACTCTGAAATTGATTTTATTATCCCCATGTTATCTTCAGAAATAAGAAAACTGAGGCTCAGGGGCATGAAATTTTAATAGGTTACAGAACAAAGTAGTTAAATCTTATTGTGCACTTTCTGGAATTTATAGAAACAGAATCATTCAGTCCTCCTAAATGTTGCACAACTCCTTTATGCATCAAACTGTATGGTTTATTTAAAAATTTTTTCAAAGTGTAGTTGACACACAAAGTTCTTTAGTTTCCGGTGTGCAACATAGTGGTTCAACCGCCAACTCTTTAGGTTATGCTGGGCTCACCACAAATGTGAAGCTATGTACTTTAAATAGGTGCAGTTTATTACATATAATTATACTTCAAGAATATGGTTGAAGGAAAAAGTCTAGTGGACCATAGCTGAGGGTAAGATCTAGTGCACTGGTATAGCGGATTCACAATGAATAGAGATGGAAGATATCTCTCCTAACTAGGAAGAAAGCAAAGTGTCTATAGAGATATGGGAAAAAGGAAATGAAATTAAGGCAATTCACATTTTGGTGTGCCTGCTCTAAATCAGTCCCTGGTACTGATTTTATATTCAAAGTACTCTTTCCTAAAGAAAAAAGAAGGCCCAAAGTGAGTAGAACAAAGGAAATCATAAAAAAGAAACATTTTGTACAGTAAGAAAATTTTTGAAATTTTGCATCATCGTATTTATGATTATCCTGACACGAAGAATATACCTGGTCAATCTATTCGTTCAAATTTGTCTTTCCATGTAGACTGCACTGGGAGGTACATGTTTGCTACTCAGTGTTTGCCAGTGGCTATGGTAGGCTTCCTGGACAGGGAGCTGAATCACAGAATAAAAGCAGGAGACCAGTTCAGAAACACAGGAGCCTGTTTCCAGAGTAACTGCCTGACATTAAGCATTTTGATTGTAATGTAATGACCTGACATTAAGCTTTTGATCTCTGACGCATGCATTTCTAAGGCAGTCAGGTTGAGTAAACACACTATCAGGTGAGGGACACAATTACCAGATAAGCGCTCAGGCTGCCCCAGCTATGAAGTACCTCTTCAAAAAGCCCTGGGTAACCTCCTTACTGACACAAGAGTGACCCTGATTTTCCCATTGAGCACCCAAATTCTAATCATATAAAAATCTCCAATAAAGTGTGAACCCACAAACCCCTAACCACTCTGGCCATGGGCCCTAATAAAGGCAGATCCCTCAGTGGAGCTCTGTCTCCCTCTCAATGCCTCTCTCCCCCTCTGACACCTCCCTGAATGGCCTTTGGGATCCCAGGTGTTCTCCAGGACCTGTGAGGATAAACCTGGTTTTGTTAGAGTTCCCTGATGGGCATTGCTGAGGTGTGTCTTGCAATCACATTAAGAACCCATGGGCCAGTGTGGCCACAGCAGAGGCTCTGGTCAGAGAAGCATCTGTGGGAATGTCCAGAAGCACAGGGGTGCAGGGGAGTGCCCAGGCTTTCCTAGCCTGAGCATCCCTGTCACAACCTGAGACTTCAATAGAACAATGTTTAAGTCCACATTATCAGGAAGAGGAGTGAAGGAAGTGATGTAAAAAGATATACAGACTCTAGGTGAACCCTGGGGTTTTCTATTTTCATCTACAATAAAATTATGTGAAGGGCTTAGTGGCCAAGTGTAGTTACTTCCAAATGAAGAACACAACTCAACACTATCCTTCTGGAAAAGCTAGGGAAAATTTACTTGGCATGGTAGAAGTCTATGAAATAAATTTAGTTTTAAGAAATCCAACTTGCCCCATGTAAGATACAGAAATTTCCAGGCATTTGCGACCAAGGTTGGGGAAAATTTGGGGATTGTATGCAAATGGACAAAGGGGAAGCTGTCTGTATATGAGACAGAGCCGAAGCTTAGTAAAGTGAGTTACTTAAATGTATGGAGAAGTGGAATTATTCAAACAAATGAAAATTCCGGGAAACATGTGGAAGGAGCAGGTTCTACTTCCAAAGCCTGATCTAAGAATGGCAGTTCCTGGCTCTCAGACTCTGAGCCCTGCAATCATGGGCACTTCTTCAGCCCCAGGACGATGGCCCCTTACATCACTAGAACCCCAGTGATTCTTTTCAGAGCCCTCTTTATGTCTCTGTTCCTCAGGCTGTAGATGAAGGGGTTCAGCATGGGCGTCACCACCGTGTACATCACCGAGGCCACTGCACTTGAGTGGGAGCTCTGGGGAGCAGCAGAGCTAAGGTACACTCCCAGGACCGTACAGTAAAATAAGGAGACAACGGAGAGGTGAGATGCACAGGTGGAAAATGCTTTAAACTTGCCCTGAGCTGATGAGATCCCAAGTATGGAGGAAACTATCTTAGAATAAGAGTAAAAGATCCCAGTGAGCAGACCGCCAGCCAGCAGCACAATTCCGAAATTCATCACCATGTTATTAAGGAAGGTGTCAGAACAGGCCTGGCCAACTACTTGATTGAGTTCACAGAAAAAATAGGGGATTTCCACCTCTGTACAGAAGGACAGCCGCAACACCATTAAACTCTGTAACAAGGAATTGAGAACACTGATGACCCAGGACACCAGAACCAGCAGTCCACAGAGCCGAGGGT